TCGCAAGGGCATTCGAACGCAATAGATCTGATGTTAGAAAAGGGCGCATCCATGGACGAAATAGACGTACAAGGCAAATCAGCTTTGATGGTGGCGAGTCAATGGGGTTTTAAAGACAGCGAAAGGCATTTATTTCTGTTCCAGTGGCAAACAAGAGCTGCTAAAACAAAGCCCAAGAGAAGGAGCAAGTCGTTGATGATGCATCAACAGTTTGACTCGGCTTATCCTACATGGTTAAAAGGAAAATACGCACAGGTTTACTTTTGTCAAACACTCCCCCCGGGAGAATTTGCTGGTACGGGAATCAGTGCCCCAAGGAGGAGGGCAAGAGAGCCCGAAAACCACTTACAGTACGAGGAATCTTTTCTTGAACAATCTTCTGACGAGTTACCTCCCATTAGTGGAGCGGTAGATTATGATGGTAAGTTCTTTTCGCACCATGTAAGAAGGGGAAGTGAGCGAGATGAAAGTTTTCGCCTGTTCTTGAAAACTTCCATCCTGCCTCTTCTCCCGACCCGACTGACTGCCCCTTAGTCTCCGAGGATGGGGAATCCAGATATATTCTAGGATATGTTTGCTTGTCAAATCTGGTATTCGAGACATTTTTGCTTGTGGAATCCAGAATTCTGCGCTTTGGAGTCCCGAGGATACAGCTCAAAGAATCTGGATCCCACTAACTGGATTGAAATCTCGAATCCAACTTCCACTGACAAGGAATCCGTCATCCAGCACCTGAAATCTACAATCCACAGGGTGGAATGCAGAATCCAAGACTGTCCTGGATTCCCTTTAATACATGCCCGGGCAATTCTTTGGTGGGTGCTCAGAATGTTGACTGTTCAAAAAATTATAACCAACTTGCGTTCTTGGAAACAAGTAGGATATGAGAACAGTCAACTCTCTCACACCAAGACAGACACAATTAGGACCTGCAACAAGTGTCCATCTTAGAGTAATGTCAGTCATACAGAGAGTCAAATATATATAGGAGTAAGGAAAGGAAGGGACCAGCTCTAGGTCACTGTCTGATTTACTGAGGTGTATGTTAAGAGAGAAATGAATGTACGCTGAAAAAAAAAAAAACAGTCAAAATAGGACTCAAGATCAAACTTGTTCATTCAAGTTTTATCCCTCCCCCTCTTATGGATCAAGGGCATAATTCCATCAGGTTTTGAGTGCTTGTCCTCCCTTCATCGGGTAAGGAGGAAGGGGTGGTTGGGTTGCAGACATTAATTCAACCATTGCACCAAAGTGGGTGATTATGTCTAACCACAAGTGAACTATGGGTCCAGATGCTGATTAGGAAAGACTTTCAGGAAGATGGGTCACAACCATTCTATTGATTAATTGAATATCCAATTCTATGTCCCCATATTGACCATGAAAGGCAGTACAGTCACCCCTACTCCAGGCCGATGGTGAACACTGAGAAAAAAGGCAATGTTTCTACAAGCCCTTATTAAAATTTTCAAAAACTGCAAAATAATAAAAGTATGAAATAAAAAAATAAATGAACAAGAAAGAAAACCCTTAAATTTAAGTCTATGAGTATTCAGTTACAGATAAACTTAGTTAAGAAATGTCTTCTTTTTTTTTTGCTTTGGATAACCAATTGACTGGACATGGCTCCCTCTTTTCATTCCAACCAATGACTTTTACAATTCTGCCTTATTTCCTTATTTCCCCCTTAGTTACAAGGTACAGTATGGGCGGGTCAGTGCGACCAGTGCTTCCACAGATTAGGCCATCAAAGGAAAGACTGGCAAGCAGGTACAGTGACCCCTGCATTATTTGTTGGCAAATAAAAATTATAAGTAACAGATTTAGAGCTAATTTTGAACAACTGTTCTATATTTGCCTCTTGTCAAGCCACTAACCTGTGATCAGCCTTTTGTTATTACTATTGTTGTTTTTATTATTATTATTATTATTATTATTATTATTATTATTATTATTTATTTTTGAGAAGAGAGGAAAAAAGAAAGCCTTCCTTACCATGAACGAAATATAAAGACATAGGGAGAGTGATTTCAGGCTATCAAACTACATGGCTTGCGCTGTCTACCAGATTCTTAAGAAATGGAAGACACCTTTATCAGTCTTACGAAAAGGGTGAACATTAAAGTTTTTGAGAGTGACAATTTTTTCTTCACAAGGCTTTTTAGCCTCCAAAGAACCCCTGTAGTAGGACTGAAACAACTCGCACTACTCTTAGGTAATAAACCTTGCTTAACTATGACTGTCATTGGGTACAACTACAGGGCTCAATGTACCAATTAAACACTTGCTTCCCAGGTAAAAATTGCTTAAAGAGAAGTATTTAAGGTTTGCTGGCACCAATCTCACCATAAAAACAAAGTTGTCATTAAGAGCTAGGGGCTGGGGATTTTCCCAAGCTACTATGAATGTGGCCCTTAATTCTAGAACACAATAATTTTCAGTAATTGTGTTATCCAATAAAGTCCTTATAGTCATTATTATTATTATTGGAAAATAAAAGAAAAATAGAACTAAAAGAAATCCCTAGCCATTTGATTCCCCACCTACTTGTTGCAATTACCCAGCAACTTGAAATCTTAGTGACAACCCTGTGAAAATCAAAATTTTAATATAAGCCCACAAGGAGAAACAGAAACTCAAACAAGCGCACAGGGTGTCAACATTGATTTGTATAATCCGTATAGATTTTAAGGCCAAGACACAGATGTCTCTCTCAGACTCACAAAACAATGAAAATCAATCAAGGGCAGTTGTATAATTATACTGGCTATGAGTGTAGCAGCTTTTAATAATGTTCCAGCAGTGTCACCAAGTAAGAATACAGTGAAACCTGTATTAAGTAGACACTGTATAAAGCAGACACCCTCTGTTAAGTGGACAGTAGCCGAAGTCCCCAAATCTATTTCCCTAATACTTACTTTAAATGAAACCTTTATCAATAAAAAGTACCTGAAATGGTCATTTCTATTGCTGCCAAACTGTATTAAATTCCACCACCCAACATGCCAGACACTGGAAATGTGAAAGATTGTGTTAAATTGCCACCCACAAATTTTTCGATTTTTACGTTAAAACACGTGACTTGACAAACTTATTTGATTAGTATCACAGTACAGTCTTGTTTTCTATTTCATTTTGTTTGCATAGATGATTTCTTCAAATTTGAGTTGCAATCTATGTTTATGGTACTATGATCAGTTGGTCCACTTTGATCAAGAAATTAATACAAAAGTATATCGTCATAGTCTCTGGGAGTATTCTAAACATTTCCACTGTTCATTTGAATGGCATTTGACACCTCATACATGTTATCTATTAAAACCTGTATTAGGCAGACACCCTGTATTTTAAAGCGGATACTACAGCATTACCCAGGGTGTCTGCTTAATACAGGTTTCACTGTATTCTATTTACTTTTGTTGAACAGTTAGTGCATGAAGGGATGGGGAATCATTAATGTGTACTTATCTATTGTACAAAGCACTTTTAAAAATGAAATGTCAGCTGAGAACAAAGCTTCATGATGCTTATATGGGTACCTCATTTCTCTTTTTCAGTAAATCTCATGGGAGTTCAAAGTCTGCAACCTTTGATGAGTGGTTGGAAGAAAAGAAATCAAAGAAGCAGCAAAAACAACAAAAAGAAAAGGAAGACAAACTGAGAAAGCAAATAGAACAGGAAAACAAGAGATTAGCTAGGATAGAGGGGCAAAAGAGCTTTGAGGACTGGAAAAATTCCAAATCAAAACAAAAACTTGACTTATCTGCCTTGGAAAAGAAAAGAGACGATATCATTCGAGAAGAGCCTGGGAGGCATTATAGTTTGAGTTTTGAACGGTGGTTGAGTAGAAATCACGGTACTTTAGATCTTTACTATTAAATTGTTCAGCCTGCCAACATGCTGTATGTCAATTAAAACATTTGTAAGTAATTAAAACAAATTAATCATTTGTAGTACTGTTTTCTGCAGATAAAGATTGCATTTAATTTTGTTTGAATGTTATTTAAAATTGACACATTTTGAAATATTTTTGTATTTAAAACATGTTGTTAGAATTATTTATTTATTTATTTTGAAAGATAAAATTTCTCACCTGCTGCATTGATCCTGAGTAAAACTGGCAGAATGGTTGCTTTAACAAGCATCATTCACCTTTTCATGATTTCTTATTAATTTTGCTTGTTCTTGTGAATTACGGTAATTCATGACACTTCTAAACAAATTTGGGAGTGTGCACATATAGGTAAAATCTTTGCTCGTTGGCACTTGGCAATAGCTATAACTAGTTTTTATTCATGATGTACATGTATCATAGAGAAATCTGAGTAGGTAAGTAACATAACCAAGCAAGGAATAAAGTATCATTTTTATCATGACAAAGTAGGTCAGTGGGTGCTTGTATTTTATTTTATTATTATTTTTTAATCAGCAAGAAGTTTGAAATATTTCTTTACCTTGTAATGATTAAAATGTACACATCTCACAGTATACCTCTTCATAACTTACATGGTTATGTATTTTTGTTGTACTTTGCAACAAATTCCTTATTTAACATGCTTTCTTACTATTAATGGTACCAGTATTTAGAATGTAAAATATTATTCATTGCCAAAAATTAAACAATTTTACCTATGAGTTGATGACGTAATAATTTTATTTTCAATCACAATTCAGCGAGGTGTCAACTACATGAGTCAAATTCATAGACACCTAACTACCAGTACTGAATTTAAAATCTGCCCCACATAGATCTAGGGAATTTTCTATATAATATCCTAAACCTCAGAACAATGTGCCATGGTTACAAACACGAAAGGAAAGCNGAATAAAGTATCATTTTTATCATGACAAAGTAGGTCAGTGGGTGCTTGTATTTTATTTTATTATTATTTTTTAATCAGCAAGAAGTTTGAAATATTTCTTTACCTTGTAATGATTAAAATGTACACATCTCACAGTATACCTCTTCATAACTTACATGGTTATGTATTTTTGTTGTACTTTGCAACAAATTCCTTATTTAACATGCTTTCTTACTATTAATGGTACCAGTATTTAGAATGTAAAATATTATTCATTGCCAAAAATTAAACAATTTTACCTATGAGTTGATGACGTAATAATTTTATTTTCAATCACAATTCAGCGAGGTGTCAACTACATGAGTCAAATTCATAGACACCTAACTACCAGTACTGAATTTAAAATCTGCCCCACATAGATCTAGGGAATTTTCTATATAATATCCTAAACCTCAGAACAATGTGCCATGGTTACAAACACGAAAGGAAAGCTGTGAAGAAGCCTAAAAGCCAGGAAACCATAGGGATACTAAATGCCAAGTTGTATTTTCAATAAACCTCTGAATTGAACAATAACTATTAATTTCATCATTTACCAGTTTGGTTACCAAAAAACTATGTCAAGCTCAAATTCAAGTCTTAACAACATAAACAGGTGTTTGGAAGTTATTTGCAAGTTACCTGGTATAATTTGCAAGCAAATACTAATACACATACAAAGATGTTTTCATTAACCCACTAAACAAAGGAACGGATTTATTTCTCATAAAACAAAGTTATCTTAGATAAATCAACCTCTATTTCTTCAGCTAGAGTATCAGAACTTGCTTAGTTTGTAATACGTCAGAGTTGACAAATTATTCAGGGTGAAATGAGGCACTAGTCAAGAGAAAAAATAATGTCAAATGTACATATGTTGTAACTGTAACTTAATGAGAAAACCTAGACACAGTTGACTCCCCATAACTTGAACCCTCTATAACTCGAACCTCCCGTTAACGCGAAGTAATTTTCAATTCCCTTCAGATCATTTTCCATAAAATTTTAACACTCGATAACTCGAACTTTTTTCTATTTCCCTTGAAGGTTTGAATTATCGGGAGTCGACTGTACATGTATGTGAATTGGCTTTTTAAAATCGCAACAAAAACTCAAAACTGCCAATAATTCAAGACGGTTCCTTTGTACCCTGTAAAATAATTACTATTGGCACCACAGGTGACAGCAACTAATTTTGGGTGCAAAAAAATAAATGAAACACAAAAAAGTCCCTTTTCTGATGCAAATATTAAAAAAAAACATAAGTAAAGAAGAAAGATATATATATGACCCCTCCATATTTCATGGTCAGAAACATGCTTTTTGTAACCTAGTTGGGCTGGCAAAATTGGCATCTAGCAAAATTAAATTAATCATGCATATAACAAAATTCTTGGTAGGGTCTGAAATAGATTTCAAGATATTGGGGTCTTGTTTCTATGTGTTTCTTTCTGCCTTGCAGTCTTGAAGTTTTCAATGTAAAGCCTTAGCCCTTACAACAACGGTCATAGCTAGAGTTTGGCCTCTCTAGCTAACACTTGATTTCAAAACTGCAGTTGTATTCATTGTTAGCCTTGCTAATGGTATCAGTTCACGCTAGTTTACTAGTGACAGACATTCTGAAAACTTTAGTAGACAATTTATAAATTTCTTGACTCATTCATAGCACTTCCAATGAGTATTAATACCTTCATAATGTTACATTGGAAAAAAGACACCACTCCCTTTGTATTCGTCAAATTTTACCTAAGTAGCTCTGTGCTTTAAATTAATTTTCAGTTTGATTATACATTTAAAGGGACAAATGTACAGAAATGCGTTGTTATTTCTTTAGAAGATTTTTTATCCAAACTAAAGTTTTCCATTACTATACAAAAAAGGCTCTAGAAAAGTGTTCATATCCATGTAAGCTAACCTGTTAATATGACTATTCATTATATTGATAAAATACCATCCTCATCGACGGTAGGGTGGTCTTCTTCATCACTGTCAGGTATTTCTTCTGCTAATTCATTGTGATAAGCATGTGGGATTGTTGGGGATCCTGGTTCCAAAGCAGGATTAATTGAATGAATTGCTAAGTTCGTCAGGCTCTGAGATTTTGTACGATCTGGTTCGGCGGCGCGATGTAACCTAGCACCAATGACTGGGTTATTAAACTGATTTGACGGCTTTACTGTTATGATAAGATTGTGACTATTAGCGATCATCATATCAGTCACCTGATCCAAAGTTTTTCCTGCGACTTCAATACCATTAACCTCCAAAACTTCATCATTCACTGCTAATAGACCAGTGCTTTCAGCTAGCCCTCCAGGGACTAATCTCGAAATAAAAATACCTGGAACTTTTTCCAAACCACTAGGCGTAACGCGAACACTGGTTCCATCGCGTATGTAGAATCCAAGGGGCTTGTCAGTATTGTGCTTCAATAATTTTACTCGGCGTTGAGTTTCAGGAATAATGTCCACATCAACAATTGCTGAGACCCGACGGAAGTCTTGAGGACCACTAATTTGTATTCTACTGAGGTGTGACTTGTTAGGGTTTGTAAGATTGGATAACAAATTGCGTCGCCTAGGTACTTCTGGAGGAAGGGGATTCTCTTCCGTGACACTACCTAGAACAAAACAGCAAAATTTGTTTTACACCATTATTCCACATCAAAAAAATTCTTGAAAAAGGAAAATATGCCAACTTATAAACTCAGGCTGCTCTAGAAAGGTCAGGTGAGCTAATTATCTTTAGGATCATTTCACACCCAAGGTTTCCAGTCACACCCAGACCTGCATATCAATAGATGTTATTTGCGATACACGCCATCTTTGCGTGTGCTAAGGACAGACGGGATAAAAGCAATGTAACATGATTTCTCAGGGGACAAACAAAAATAACATAAAATTTGCCAGTGCAAGAAATTGCCGTCGATTTTGTCTATTCTAGATAGGCAACAAAAAAATAAAGATTTTTTTTTCACTTTAGAGACAATAATGGTAAATTACGGGTGGAAGTAACCGTTGCTGCTTTTTTAGATGCTTATAGTGACCGTAGATGTCCTCACAGCAAGCAGTGATGTAAATCTTGTTGAAACTTGAACTGTACACTTGGCATGTCTATTAAATCGTCATCTTGTTTGGATAGAATAAACAAACTCAATAATTGTGATTACTTTTTGTAATGGCAATTTTTATCCCTTGCTTGCCCCCTGAAATACCAAGTGACATTGTTTTTAAGCCATCGAGCCTAAAGCACATGCAAAGATAGCGCTAATGAGGAATAAAGTATATTCCACTGTAAATGCATGGTTGCTTAGCACACTCCTGATAAAGAGCAAATCAACTGGGATTTATGTCACTCAGTAAACATTCAAAACGAAGATAGTTGTAAAGGAAAATAGGATCAGTTTTTTACTTTACACACAATTGGTCATGAAAAACACAAATTCCAGACATAATTCAAGTGCTTATGGTGTTGTATGAACATGATAGAATTTACATAAAAATTGCTGAATCTCTTTAATTTGTAGACTGCATTTTTATTTCTCGGGAGAAATAAGACATGAATACTTGGCACTATCAAAATAAGATTTACCAGAAAATATCAAAAATAAAGTAACAAAGAAACGCTCAGAAAAAAAAAACGATTAATCTATATAGAATTAATTTAATCAAGTGGTGTAATTCGACGTTTGAAATAAATCGTCAAGTACGTCTAAAAACTTCTGCATTATTTTCTCACCTCATAAATTTAATGTACAGTTTAGATTACAACTGTTGCTTTGAAATAAGACGAATTCTTATCGCAAAAATTGTTTCGAAAGGAATCTCGATGACGCAAAGGAAGTAAAGTTAGGGAAAGAATACCGAGTTTTGAGAGTGGTGTTCCTTTGATAAACAAACATCACAACGTTTACATCGTCAAAATCTAATTTTCGCGTCATCGAATTTTCAACGGAAAAATATTGCACAAGTAGTTAATCGGTAAGTCTCTACTAATATAAGTTAAGGCTTAGGGAAGAAAAATAAACAATTGCTTTGCTTATCTATTTCAGCAAAAATGATCTGAATTAATCATATTCTCTGACCTGGGATCCTCAAAATTTAAGACAATCATACATTAGTCGAATGAATTCAATTACCGAAGAATTAGCAAAGAGATTGACTAAAATGCCAGCCAATCTTTTATGATGACTGTTGGGGGTCTTACATACCTTGTCTTTGCACGAAAAGTCGTAAAAGCGGTCGAGCAGTAGTAACAGCTCTCAGGAAATTATCATCGTTGTTAATGGGCAGCAAATCGCCATGCATATCAGTATACCAAAGTGTCACTGGAGTGTTTTGAAGCTTGTGAAGGGTCTGTACACGCTTGTGGAATTCTTCATAATTCGTAAGCTCCGCTTTATCCAATGGAAACCTTCGAAATTCTGCATCAAACTACATATACAAAAAAATGGTAATGCGGATTACTATTCAGGTTGCCTCGCGTTTCAAAGTGGTCAGTGCATCGCCGTTAGTTAAAAGGATTGTGACAAAATTCCCGGCTCACCTTAGATTTAACTTCGATGATGCTAAGGTCTATTTGTGTAGGAACCTTTTTAGATCCTCTCAGCAGCTTGGACATCAGGAATTTAGCGTCAAATCGTTCAACTTAGCTCTCAAAACAACCTTCAAATGCATTCCTCAAATCGACACATTCAGAACATGTAAACTGCGCAAGGTTACTGCGCATCCGAAGGTGATTACAGGGGTGGGGTCAGACGATTTGGTAACGGCTATTTTAGGCAATTCAGGAAATGAATATTGGAACAAATGGGTTTGCTGTTAATTGCTGAATACAATTACTTAGAGTTGATTGAAAAGTGGGTTTTTCTCAAAGCTAAAAAGAATATTCCGGCAACGTCATGAACCATCCTGCGTATTTTACAAAGGTAGATTACCATCAATGATCACAAATCTCGCCGCACTCTACACATTTACCACGTTGCCACCGCTCTGAAAGGCGATAGCAAAAAATTCTTTCACTATTACGTCAGACTTGCGCATTGCGAGACTGCACGTGCACGAAGTGTCCGGCTCGTCACACAGTAGTTTTCAATTGCGTGACGAGCCAAAGCTAAATCAAAACATATAAAATGTCAGCAAGTCCACAGCAACAAAAGACCTAGATCAGTAAAATTAAACTTGCAGAAAATATGAAACGGCAAACTGATCCTTACGGCAAGGCCATGAAGAAGTAAACATTTGAAAGAATAAAAAAATATATATATATATTTAAACAAATTGCCCAATATTTCGGTTTGAAAACAAACCTTCTTCAGTTTAGCCCCTGACGAAGGTTTGTTTGCAAACCGAAATATTGGGCAATTTGTTTAAATATATATTTTTTGTTTTATTCCTTTGTTTACTTCTTCATCGCCTTGCCGTAAGGATCAGTTTGCCGCTTCATACTTTTCTAAATCAAAACACCCGAAATCAAGAATGAAGCCGTGCGAAATTGTTCCCTTCCCCTGGAGGGAGGGGCAGGGGAGGGGGAGCAAAAGCATTTTTATACCCTGATTGTAACTGCCCGGAATAAAACTAAAGCAAAAACTAAAAAGCAAAAACTGCGGTGGTTAGCGCTAGCTTGTATGGCAGTAAGCAATAAGGAAAACTTCACTGAGGGAACTATGTCCGATACAGCCGCGAAGGATCGATGTTTTTGTTGTGTTAAATTCAAGTGCCCATTGTAAACTTTGCTGAATTTAATATTGTCAAGTGATCTTTTCTACCAAATACTTCTTCGACACCGTACGATAGAATTTAAATCGTAGACGAAATAAATGCACACTTTAGACCAGGCATAACTTTACCACCTTTTTGAACCCGTACTGTATGGTTAGCAACAATTCATACACCTTTATTCCAAAACCAAGAGAAAAAATTAAATAACTATTTGGCGACAGAATCAACAAATAACAATACCATTGTTCCACAAAAATAACTAGACACCTGAATGAACACCATGAAAACAGTTTTCAATTAATTTCTTTTCTTGCTTGCTTCTCTCTTCCGCATTCCATTAAGTACAATGCGATCATAATGATAAAGGTAGAAGGCTAAAACGAGTCTTAAAGGCCCCATCAAAGCAACCTATACAGAACAAAACAAAAAATGTTATCAATCATGCAGTCTACGCAGCAGGGCAGGAGCCCATCAAATCAAAATTTGATGGGCTCCTGAGCAGGGTTAGCTTAGTCAGTAGAACGCTTGACAGCAGAGCGGGACGTCGCGGGTTCAATTCCCGGGCTCGGACCAATACTCAGGGTCTTAGGGACTGTGCAATAATTACCTGGAGGGGGTAGGGTTGGAAAATGGGTGAAATATGCCCCAAAACTAAGTCATACCCCTTCTCATTAAGCAAAAATTAATTTCAACCCCCCCTCACATAATAATAATATTAAAGCTAACCTCCCCCCCGTCCTTGAAAAAAGTCTCCTCCCATCGATTCCCTCATACCTAGTTTACTTGTTGGATTTCTTCCTCCGGCACAAACATCACTTAAAATGACTCTAAATAAAGTAGCACTGTTTTAACATATAATTATAACAGTGGCATTCCTTTCCTACTGCAATTTGTCAGTTTTATTCCAATGCTAGTATTTATATTTGAACTCTAATAACTCTTCCACTACTTTTCCATTTTCCAAAAAGTAATGAAAAACCCATCAAATCAAAATTTGATGGGCTCCTGAGCAGGGTTAGCTTAGTCAGTAGAACGCTTGACAGCAGAGCGGGACGTCGCGAGTTCAATTCCCGGGCTCGGACCAATACTCAGGGTCTTAGGGACTGTGCAATAATTACCTGGAGGGGGTAGGGTTGGAAAATGGGTGAGATATGCCCCAAAACTAAGTCATACCCCCTCTCATTAAGCAAAAATTAATTTCAACCACCCCCTCACATAATAATAATATTAAAGCTAACCTCCCCCCCCCCCTTGAAAAAAGTCTTCTCCCATCGATTCCCTCATACCTAATTTACTTGTTGGATTTCTTCCTCCGGCACAAACATCACTTCAAGTGACTCTAAATAAAGTAGCACTGTTTTAACATATAATTATAACAGTGGCATTCCTTTCCCACTGCAATTTGTCAGGTTTATTCCGATGCTAGTATTTATATTTGAACTCTAATAACTCTTCCACTACTTTTCCAGTTTCCAAAAAGTAATGAAAAAGTAATGCCCCCCCGTATGTATTAAATTTTACATCCGGCTTCCCTCTTTCTTGTTGTCATTTTCTCCTATCCCCCCTCTAATTTTCCAAACCCCCCACCCTCTCCAGGTAATTAATGCACAGTCCCTTAAAATAAGTGAGAAATGAAGATGCCTCCTTTGTCCCGCAAGCGGCTAGACCTTCGCGTGGCTCGGATGACTACGTAAAATGGCGGCCTCGTCTTCAGTTAGAGACGTAAAAATAGAGTCCCCAGTTAGTACTTCCGTGCTAAATACATTGACACTCAAATAAGGTGCTTTTTTTTCTGTTTAAGGTTTACGTTTCCAGTCTATGAAACTTCATGAAGACCAAGAGGTAGCCATAACCGGCTGACATTTCGCGAGGCCACCACTGGTTTCCCCACGAATGATGACGCGTCACTACCCAGATCTGGGTAGTGCTTCTGATTGGTTAAAACAAGTTTCTCTCGCAATGCGACCAATCAGCAGCATCACACAGGTCTGGATAGTGAACGTCACCATGCAGTACGGAATTGCTGCAGTCGTTGCTCAGACGTCATTTCGCGGGGACCTGTGATGGCGTTGCCAAATGTCGGCTGCTTTCTCAGGCTAACAAAGGGGCTAGTTTAAAAAGAAACCCTGGTCCTGTGTACATTTTTAAGTTTGATTTTGCCATGTTCATGCTATAACCCCTTAACCGGATAACTCATTTTTTTTTTTTATGAAAACCAGGCCGAACACCCGCGAACAGGGCTTCTGTTCACGCATAGGAACGGTGCCTTTTGGCGCGAGTTCTGTAACGGAACGAAGCCGCGCCGCGTCTAGCCTGCGAGCAAGCTCTCCTATTTGGGCGAGTGAAGCGAGTCTGGCGAGAACGCGCGAGCGAGCGGCCCCCTCGCTCGCGCGGTCTCGCGAGGCTCACTTCGCTTACCCAAATAGGAGAGCTTGCTCGCAGGCTACGCCGCGTCACATATCGCCGGGTTTAATTTTTCGTCTGTAACTTGAGAAAAAGTCGGAAACTAACGAACCAGAAAATGCTTGAATGGGATAGAAACAAATGTATGCCAACTCATTTGCCGAATTCATATTTGAGGAGGAAAACCGTTTTGGACAAGGGAAAACTGATCTTAAGACAGACAACTCCACTGATAAGTACCCATTAAAGGATTACTTCCCTAACTCAAACCTATACTAGTCACACCATTGGATAAGTTGGTTACACATTTTAGGGAGTTTAAGCAACGACAACGGCAACGGCAGCGAAAACGTCACTTAAAAAAAAGCATTCGCGCTGTTTCAAACTTCATCGCTCTTGCTCCATCTCGTTTAATTTGTCATATGTTAGCGAAACTTTCGGAGTTTGAGTTCTAGAGGTCTGTGTTCAAGTTTAGAGGAAGAAAAAGAACATCGTTGTCTTCGTTCATGTTCTCCGTGAGACGTGAAACTAGGAAGTTTCACGTCCTACCCGTGCAACGACGGCAAAGAAATATACAAAGAAGCGTGGCACGTGCAAAGTAGTTGTTTTGCTATTTGCCGCTTTCGTTTTCGTTGCCGTCGGTGACGTCGTTGCTTAAGCTCCCTGTTGTTGAGATTTGGGGGGGGATGGTACTTTTATTATATAACATTAACTTTAATACAAGTAAACTTGATCTGTATTAAGGAAGTATATATATATTTGCAAAGGATAACATACTTGAACAAGAAGTTCAAACAATGAAGAGGCCGGCGCTATGCCGCACGTTAAAGTCTTCACGGCAAATCCATCAAAGCCACAAGATATCAAGAATTTCCTGTTCTGAAATGTTAAACAAACAAAGCTCATTTACCAGTCAATCGCATTTTCGCCACACTGATTAGCGTTTAACAAATCATGGATATGATTGAAAATACCTTGATTCCTGCCACCATGATGGCTGCTACTTGATCGGGGGTAAACAGCCCACCTGAACTACTGATTAAATGAGTTTCTTCTGGCTAGAGAAGAATAAGAAAAAAGTATAATAGTCAAGCGTAATAAGAGGAAGTTGCCTAGCCCCTAAGTCCCATTATTCCACGCGGCCTACAAGTATGCGTTTTGGGTCACGTGAACTGAGCGAGTTTGTTTCCCCGCCGTTTGTCACGTCCACGTCGCCAAAATGCTTTGACCGAGAAGGCCTGGAAAGACGCCGTACACAAAATAGGTAAAAGAGGAAGCAGGGGACTGTGACCGGCAAAAATAAATGACTTATTTTCTTGGTAAAATATTGCATAATATTTTCCACAGTTTCAAGACACTTGTTGCATCGTAGCCTGAGAAAACAGTCGACATTTCGCGACGCTACCGGTGGTTTCACCACGAAATGATGTCTGAGAAACGAGCGCAGAAATTCCATACTGATGACGCGTCACTTCCTGGATCTGGGTAGTGCTTCCG